GGATTTCAGTCTCCCCCTAAACCCTAAACTCCCAACCCTAAACCCTAAACCCTGAACCCCTCAACCCCTAAACCCCCTAACCCGAAATCCCAAACCCCAAGCCCTAAGCCCTAAACCCAAAACCCTACACCCTACAGGTTTATGTCGGGTTTAGGGTGATGCGGGGGGGGGGGGGGGTAATTAGGGTTTAGGTTCAGGGATTTAGGTCTTAGGGTTTCTTGATTTAGGGTTTATAGGGCTTAGCGTGCTTCAACCCTAAACCCTAAACCCCATACCAGAAAGCTCGGAGTATTCCCTGCTAAAAGGGACTTTCAGGCTGCACCTGAAACCTTGAAAACCTGAAAGAGTGGAGTCTTTTTGTTGCTTGGACCTTCAGTGTACTCTTATGCCCCTTGTTGGCTGAACCTGGAACTTGAAAACCGCAGAGTTTGTGGATAGCATCCGCCTTGCTCGAGATCACTAGGTAGCGATGTTTCAGTTCTAGGGTTTAGGGTTTCGGGTTTAGGGTTTCGGGTTTAGGGTCTAGGGTGGTGCACCAGGAACGTCGCAGTAAACATTTCAACCCTAAACTCCACACCTTACTACTTACCACCTTGAAATCCCGAAGCCAAGAAACACCAGACCCCAAGGCCTGATCCTTACAGTTTTGCAGCCGTAAACGCCCTAAACCCACACGACAAAAAAATAATTGTATGTGATGTCATTGTGAACTTCCGAATGTTTGTTTGTTTTGACAGCTGACAAGCCGAGCCTAAGTATATGAATCCAAGGCGCCTTTGGAGGCCAAATGTCGAGTCTACGAATTGCTTAAGAACCCCCCCCCAAAAAAAAAAAAAAAAAACAATAATCTTCCTTATAAGGGTAATATAAGGATTAACATTTCTTTTCTTTTTTTTTTTTGGGGAGGGGGGGGGTGGGGGGGTTCTTAAGCAAATAGTAGCAGTTCATTTAGACCCCGCACCCCGCTCGCCCCCGCCCGCGCCCCATTTGGAGGGCTGAGAGAGGTCGCACTGCGGCACCACAATTTCGTCGTTAAGGGTCATCCTAGCTTGGAAGGGCTGAGTGATGAAGGCTTCCCTAGCCTTTGGAGGGGGGTTTGTTCGACTGGTTTGACCGGCTGAGATAGCTCAACGCCTCTCCGAGGAATCTGTTCAATGCTTTTGAAGGAATCCTAAGCCCTAAGCCCGAAGCCCTACTCCCTAAACCCTATCTTGAGAAGGGTGTGTGTTTGTGTATGCGAAGGGTGCGGATGCGAGGCTGTTTACAGAAACAGATGCGCACTCTGGGAGGAGGACGGGCGAGCTGCAGAAGATTCCCAAGCTTCCTTTGAAACCCCAAGAATATAAATTTCGAAATTCTCAAAAAATCCTAAGGATTCTTGATCATGATAGTCAATTATGCGGATATAAAAAATCGTAGAGATTCTTGATGATGATATTTAATTATGCATATATATATTTATATATGACCATATATGTACACATGTATATCCGGAGCACTGCCCCATTTGAAATCTGAGTTGTTCAATGATTCCCAGGTTCATTGTGTGTCCAAGAGTTCTAAATTGACGCCAGACCCTGGCCCTAAACCCTAAGCCCTCAGCCCAAAACCCTAAACCCTAAACCCTAGGCGGCGTGGTCTCCAGTGCCGCCACGATGCCGCAACGCAGCCACCTGGCTTTCTGAGGGTTTCTAATCTTTGGGCTTTCCGTGTGGAAGGGTTTTGCAGGGTTTAGGGTTTAGGGTTTAGGTTTCTCGGGTTTTAGGGTTTTAGAGGGTTTTCTGGGTTTGGATTTCAGGCGTTGGGTTTGGGGCCCGTTCTGGGGGCTTGGGGCTTTCTTTGGGTTGATTATGGGGTTCTTAAGGGAGGGGAGTTCAAGGGGGTAGGTACCTAGGAAATCTTAGGGAAGCTTAGGGAGCCTTAGGGAGTAGTAGGGAAAGTTAGGGAACCTTGGGTTATGTACCCCTATAAGTTGAGGAGGATAGCGATTGAAGGACTCGACGATCCTTAGAGCCCCAACGCCCTAAATCCCAAAGCCTACTATAGGGGCTAAGTAATAAGAATAGGGTTTTGGGGTTTATTGTAGTATCCTTATTGTAGTATCCTTATAACTTATAAAGGGACCAGAAGGGGATACGGTGCGTAATTATTCCGACGTCCGACCCCTCAATTAAAGCTTGTTTGGAGGAGAAGGAGACCCCTGGAAAAGGGTCGTTCTCGTTACTTCAATAGCCCTAGTTCAGCACCCCTAAGCATTAAGCTCCGTTGCACTGCCTGAACGGCTATACTGCACTGTGGGAGCTAGACAATGAACTTCGTTTCCAAAGACAACAGCTTCGTGATTTACCGACTTCTGAAGCTGTGATCCTAGGATGAAGAACGTGATTGAGCAATCATGGCAGCTAGCGCAAATCGTCAATGATCAGCATCATCGCCTACGCGAACACAAAGACGCATCAACCAGGTCGAGTACAACCAGGATATTGTTAAACCGTAAACCCTAAATCCTGAACCCTGTACGTCCTCCGATCCTCCAAGCAAACTTCGAACGAAGGTTTAGGGCCTTAACCCTCTAGACCCCAGATTCTGTAGTGCAGACAGCCTAAATAGCTTCCATGCTCTTACAACCCCTATGCTCGGCCCAAGAGACCTGTTGAAAATTTCCTACGCGCAGCCCATGCCCTAAACCCTATAAACCCTAAACCCTAAACCCTAAACCCTAAACCCTAAACCCTAAACCCTAAACCCTAAACCCTATTAGCCTAAAGCCTAAACCCTAAAGCCTAAACCCAATCGACGCCAGGCTCTCTGCTGCGCGGCTGTGTGTGGCGGTCGCATTGCGACTGGATGTGCCTCGGAAGTGTATTGTGCTTGGCATGGGGCATCAGGTTCAGAGTATTAGGGGTCAGGGGGTTTAGGGTTTAGGGGTTTAGGGTTTGGGGTTTAGGGTTTGGTGTTTAGGGTTAGGGTTTAGGGTTTAGGGTTTAGGGTTTAGGGTTTAGGGTTTAGGGTTTAGGTTTTAGGGTTTTCAGAGTATTAGGGTTCAGGTTTGGGGTTTGGGGTGTCAAGTGTTTCGTCTAGAGGGCCTTGGGCATAGGCCCATTCAGGATGCGTTGAAAGTAACATGTAGCGGTTTAAAAGGGTTCAGGGTTTAGGGTTTAGGGTTCAGGGTCTTACTAGAGATGCTTGGAAGGTTTTTGGGCCTCGGGTTGCAGACGTTAGAGGGTCTATGACCGTGTATGGAACATGTGAACAAACGAACCCTAAATCGCAACCCCCCCCCCCCCCCCCCGCCGCGCAAAAACGGCTTCCGGCCCACGTACTAGATAACAGGGTTGACCCTATCGTAGTGACAAGGCCAGTTTATTTGTTTGTTGGGTCCTCTGCCGCCCTGGCCCCCCACCACTCGCTAAGCCCTAAGCCCTAAACCCTAAACCCTAAACCCTAAACCCTAAACCCTAAACCTTAAACCGTGGCTCGGCCCTTAACCCTACCAGGAACAAGGTTTTGGGTGCCTTGCGTTTCAGGGAACCTGAAACCCCCCCAACCCAACACTCTGAAGCGCCAGAGACTTGGACGCTGAAGATATCCAGTGATTTGATTTAGTGGTTTGTTGTTCAGGCGTTATAGGCCTTAGGATGACTTTTTCTAACCCTGAACCCTTGTAAGTAGAACCCTGAACCCTGAACCCTGAAAACCTAAACCCTAAAGGCCCTAAATAAACCCTAAACCCTAAATAAACCCCAACACCTAAACCCTAAAAAAACATCAGAGTCGCCAAGCCCCCCCCCCCCCCCCCCCAAAAGAAAAAACAAAATCTAAACCGCTGCGAGCAGACCCCCTCCCCACGGGCCGCGGGAGCTCAGGACGAAGCTCTGCTCGCCTGCATGGGACTCATGCTTGAGGCGCGCCCCTCACACACAGCCTTTGGGATTAGGGTTTAGGGTTTAGGGTTTAGGGTTATAGGGTGTAATGTTGCACTCGGTTTAGACAGGGGCCGCTATTAAGCGTTTTCCCGAAACTTATAGGGCACTCTCCATTGATGAGGGTGGTCCGCAATTATGCGAGGTGCGCGGCCCGGGGATGAAGGGCGGGGGGTCGGGGAGCCAAAAACAAACAAGTTAATTTGAATAAGAATCTCCGGAATTTTCTGGTGTCCGGCTTGATTTACATTCCTTTTAAAATTTCATCACTTGAAACAGGCCCCCAAAAAAGTTTCCAAGGGAGTAGCCCACGAGCTGGGCCAGGGAGCTACAAAGCCTTGAAAGCTTAGACCCTCAAGCATCAAGGCTTCCCCTCAGCCCTCGAACCCTACCCCCAGCCCCCGTCCCAGCCTATAGAGGATCCCCGAAAACCCCAAAGTTGTTTGGGGGGAGGGGGGGCCCTGGATACTAAAACCGAGTCCAACATTGGGGTTTAGGGTTTAGGGTTTAGGGTTTAGGGTCACCCACTCGCTCACTCACTCACTCATACACACACACACACCACACCACAGACGCCCTCAAGTCCGAGGCGCCCTGGCTTCGCCCGAAAGCCCTAGCTGAACTCTCCCTAAGGCCAAAACCCTAACCCCTAAACCCTAAACCCTAAACTTTGTCCTAAACCCTAAACCCGAAACCCTAAACCCCCCCTAGATCCTAGACCCCGGCACCCCCGGCACCCCCTCCTGCCCCCGGAAGGCCGAAGCCTCACTGCGTGAAAACTCTTCGTCCGGGTTCTCAGCGTGACGAGGGGACCCGGCTTTCTGCGACGCATTCTCATTCTTCTTGGGGTGAAGGGTTTCGGGTTTAGGGTTTAGGGTTTAGGGTTTAGGGTTTAGGGTTTAGGGCGACGGGGTGCTATGTTCCTGGAAATTTTGGCTTTGGGATGGGTGATCCATGCATGGCAGTGACTGGTAGCATCACGGTGTTACAGCTTGCCGCTCCAGCCCTCCATTGGCTCAGTTAGTTTGGGCCCTAGGGTTTAGGGTTCAGGGTTTAGGGTTTAGGGTTTAGGGCGTGATGGCTGCCTGCTGCCCCTCTGACTCATGGCCGCGTGCGGCAGACGACGGATACAAAGCCAAGGGGCAGATGAGCACCATCGGTCCGCGGCCGAAAATCTTATTTGCATAATAACATTGGCTCAGCTAGGGTTAGGGTTTAGGGCTTAGGGCTTAGGGCTTAGGGCTTCGGGTTTATGGTTAGGAATTCGGGCTAGGCTGTAGCAGAAGTGGTAGCAGAAGCGAGAGGGAGTGCGAGGGGCAAACAGTAGCGACGCAACAGTACGGTGCTTCAGGTGTGTGAGGGTCTTTTAGGCCAGCGCTGAGGTGAGGTATACCTGGCAGTGCAATCCAGGAGTCGGAATGGTTCCCAATCTACTAATTGCTTCAGAACCCCTCCCCCCCCGCCCCCCCCCGCCCCCCCCGCCCCCCCCAACAAAAACAACAATAGAAAAGACTCTTCCTTATGAAGGATATAGGGATTCTTGTTTGTTGTTCAATCTTTTTGTTTGTTTGGTGGGGGTGGTTCTTAAGCAAATAGTAGTAATGTTGTTTTCTTATGACCCCGTTTGTTCACCATGCAAACTACCCAAAGGCTCTATTTGAATTGTTTAGGCCCAAACAATCCCCACCACGATCCCTCGTATTCCGAGAGTCTTTCAGTCTTCCGTCCACAACCTGTACATTGCAAATAGAAAGTTTGCCGTCAGGCAGCGGAACCCCCGCCTCGACTACTCACCCCACCCCCCCCCCCCTTATACTAGCAGTCCTTAATAGTGACTTTTTGTATCATACCAGCTACTATAACCCCAAGTCAGGACTGATAGAATGAGGGGGAACATCCCAAAGCACATAGCTCCACGATGTGGTACAATGTTTTGCCCAGCCTGCCTTGAGTCATTGAGATGGTTTGCCCGTGAATAGCTACAAACATTTGTCCCCCAATGCAACCGCCATGGAATCACAAGAAAAATGCCGCTGCTTCATAATCCTGATGCTTGCAATCCTCATATAACCCCGGACCTAGACACTAAACCCTGAAACCTGAACCCGAAACCGTAAACCCTAAACCCTAAACCCTAAACCCTAAACCCTAAACCCTAAACCCTAAACCCTAAACCCTAAACCCTAAACCCTAAACTCATTCACTGCTTGCCTTGAGGCGATTTGCCGGTGTACATCTCCGGTAAGCCGGGCCCACGCGCCATCATCGCTTTTCAGGACTTGGGTTTAGGGTTTAGGGTTTAGGGTTTAGGGTTTAGGGTTTAGGGTTTAGGGTTTAGGGCTTAGGGCTTAGGGTTTAGGGTTTAGGGTTTAGGGTTTAGGGTTTAGGGCTTAGGGCTTAGGGTTTAGGGTTTGGGGTTTAGGGTTTAGGGTTTAGGGTTTAGGAGTCAGCTTTTCAGGAAGTCTTCGGGCTGAGTACGAACCTCAAACGAATCTGCGACATCCTGGCGGAGGACCGAGGGATTCGATGCATATTCTTAGGGTTTAGGGTTTAGGGTTTAGGGTTTGGGGTTTGGGGTTTAGGGTTTAGGATTTAGGGTTTGGCGCCTGTTTGGGCTTGTAGGGATAAGATAGGATCCTATAAGGTTATTGCAGTGATTCGGTGGTGTCAGAGTTTATGATCCTTCATGAACTAGATACTGCTGTAGCTTGAGGATGCTGTACATTGCGACTGCACTTTGCCTTTTTCTGGTTCTTCTTGAGGCGGGCTTTTATGTGGTGTTCGTGGACAGCTTTCGTGGCGACACTCTCCCAGAAGATGGCGCCTTTTCCAAGATGACCTTCACAACGCCACGGGCTGGCCCAGATGTTCCCTACACAGGGCTCCTCCTACGGGCCATTGAGAGCCTTCGTAGAGGGTTTAGGGTTTCAGTTTTGGTCCTATAGGCTCGCTTATAAAGTAACCAACCCAATAACAAAGTGCCCTTATTGTAATAGTATGGTTTATCGGTTTAGGGTTTAGGGTTTAGGGTGTAGGGTTAGGGGTTACCAAGGAGCTTGATGTGCGGCTATTGGCCCGCGTGCTGCGAAGGGATGAGGATTAGCAATATTCGCCAGGTCTTCACCTTCATGAAGAAGCCCCTTCGACGCAAACAACTAGTCATCAGATGCGAGATGCTATACCCGAGTGCGTAGAATGTACTAGAATCTTCTCCGCTACCCGCAGGATCCATGTTCCTACATAGTGTATACTTGGGCCCTAGAGCTACCATATTGGAACCCCTTGACGGCCCAAGGAAATACTATAGAGGTACATGGATCTTAGGCTCAAAACTGATCATCAGATGCGAGATGCTATCCCAGACTGCGTAGAACATAGGTCCGCTATACACTTCTGCTATGATGGTGCAAACATCTGGTAGGCGAGTTGGGAGAAATTTGCTTTGAGCCAACCATAGCCAGGATGGGCTGCTAGGGTTTGCAATCCCCAGAAACAGCCCCATGCAAGGGTCATCGCTCATCCCTGATCCCTCTAACCGATGCCCTAAACCCCAAACCCCAAACCCAAAACCCAAAACCCCAAACCCCAAACCCCAAACCCTAAACCCTAAACCCTAAACCCCCTTCAGTTCTAAGGTACCCTTGGGAGCCGTGCATCCGAAGAGACACCGAGAATGTCATGGCATCTTGGTAGCCCAGTGGTTCCCTTTTTTTGGTAGCCCTAAACCCCAAACCCTGAACCCTAAACCCTAACCCTAGACCCTAAACCCTAAACTAAACCCTAAACCCTAAACCCTAGACCGGGTTGCTTTCACGGTTCCTGAGCGACCCAGGCATGGCTGCGCGAGAAAGGCTGCACCAGCGTTGGGGCCATTGGCTTCTGCTGGGGCGTCTGGGCATTCTTGAAGGCCTCCTCAGAAGGCTGCAGGGTTTAGGGTTTAGGGTTTAGGGTTTGGTTTAGGGTTTAGGGTTTAGGTTGGCCAGAAGGCTTGGGTGTTGAGGAAGTTAGATTAAGTCAGAATGTTGGGATAGCATGGTGGGTTTGTCTATTGGGCTTATGTCTACTATATTAGCTGAATCTGAACGCTTAGTTCATGAAGAAGCTTTAAGTTTGATGGTGTCTAATCTTTATGCCCTAAGCCCTGTACCCTAAACCAGGGGCAGGCTACGCATGTTGATTTTTTAAGCGGTTAATAGTTTTAGGCGTTCAACAGTTCAAAAAAACCCTGGGTTTCAGGCGAATGTTGAAACAATGGCCGCGTTTAGACGGTTTTTCGCATCTGGGGGGGTCAGGTTGAACAAGGCCTAAACCCTAAACCCTACAAACCCTATGAACCCCAAACCCTAAACCCCAAACCCTAAACCCTAAACCCTGAAGAAGGTGTGCCTTTGAAGGCTGGGGTTGGCCCCCACCCCAGCATTCACGTGGAGAACTCCGTGTTTAGTGGCAGTGAGATGGCCATGATCTCGAAGGCTGGGCTAGGGTTTAGGGTTTAGGGTTTAGGGTTTAGGGTTTAGGGTTTAGGGTTTAGGGTTTAGGGTTTAGGGTTTAGGGTTTAGGGTTTAGGGTTTAGGGTTTAGGGTTTAGGGGTTTAGGGTTTAGGGTTTAGGGTTTAGGGTTTAGGGTTTAGGGTTTAGGCTTTGCCAAGGACAGAACTCGAGTTACTCTACGGAGGATAATATAGGGACTTGCCGGAACTGGGTTGGCAAATTGGTTGTGTACAGGTACTTGCAATACTGAATCATAGCGGGGTAACATTTTGCATTTTTAACGGAATGTTATCCCAACCATGAACTAGATTAGTTCAAAGGATATATTGGGGTTATCTGAGTTAAGCATGCCCACACAGTCCGAACAACATCCACACATGCAGTCCCTCCAGTCCCTACATGTCCCTACGCTATCCCTACCTACAGTAGACAAAACCTTCCATAATATGCATTTTTTTGTTTATGTCTCTGTTGTCCGCCAATTTCGTCCCGGTAGCTCCCGGGGAGGTTACCCTAAACCCTACACCCTGAGCCCTAAACCCTAAACAGCTCCCTGTAGGTTCAGATGCCCGTGTTGCTGCTCCCCGCTGGCAACGACCTGCCAACATACAAGCCCGGGGGGAAAGTCGCAACGGCTCTGGAAGAGAAGGGTGGCTCCTGCCACCTGTGCCCTGAGTCATTGTTGAAAACCATTTTACATTCTTATGAATACTCAAACCCAATAATTAAGAAGCAACAAAGATCATTTTTAGTACATGTCTTAGGAATACTTAAAGCCCACCGAGCAAGAATGATATTTTAACAGCACCCCAGCAATGGTGCAGGTACTCTGAAATGCGTCATGGCTACGCTGCGCGCGGGGACCTGACGTTGCCAGCCGTCAAGCGAGACTTTGAAGATTGCATGAAGCGGATGATCGAACATTTTAACAAGCACCTGTAGGGATTATAAGGTGGGGGTTTAGGATTTAGGGCTATTTTGACAGCGGGTGTCCTGTTGCACCCGCTGATTGGTTTTGACGTCGAGACTTGCAACCGCAGATTGCGAGGGAGAAAACACACGCGGTGGCCTCGGGGTATGGTGAAGCATCACACTTAGCCCTACTAAAACCTAGCTCATCACATGCACCTCCTGTGGTTTCGGGTTCAGGGTGTGGGGTTACCCTTAAACCCTACCACATCATTGTGGGATGTTGTCTTGTTCCGTTGATGTTGCACCCCTTGTGTTTGGGGACTTTGTAATGTCAAAATTCAATGCATTCCAAGAGCCCCGAACGCTAATCATCCTCATTTCACTTCACGTAGGTTCGGGGTTGAACCCTAAACCCTAAACCCTAAACCCTAAACCTAAACCCTAGAAGGCCAGTTGCGGGGTGCCAATGTAGGGTTTAGGGTGTACACGGAGGGGACCCCCCCCATGCCATACAAGCCATCAGTTAGCTATTGGTCAGGGGACTTAGGACTAGGACACGGAGTAGGCCCTTTAGGGTTTAGGGTTTAGGGGTTTAGGGGTTTAGGGTTTAGGGTTTAGGGTTTAGGGTTTAGGGTTTAGGGTTTAGGGTTTAGGTCCCCTGAAATGCCCCTGTAGACCAAAAAGGGTACCCTTTTTGTTCGCTCAGTCACTCTTGGGTCTACATAGCCGAAGTGAAAAATACTTATGCCCCAGTCTCGGGCTCGTTTGACTCTACTTATACCTAAACCCTTAAACCCTACTTGGTGGCCCAGTGGTACCCTTTGCCCTTGTTTTTTTGGGCTCTGGTTTCCCTTGTGAAGCAACCAACCAAAAAAGGGTGCCTTTATTACAATATGGATTCCGGGCTACTGAGCCTATAGTTTGCATGGACCTGCCGAAGTCCAGGGGACTGCTTTCAAATGGATCCTCATATCCCCCCCCCCCCCCCCCCCCCGAAGAAAATCTCAAGTGAAGTTGCCAGAAGCCCTTTGGATTTGAATCCTGCACCCTTCCCAAACTTCCTGAACTTCCTAAGCTTCCTGAACTTACTATACTTTGGAACTTCCTGAACTTCCTGAACTTCCTGAACTTCCTGAACTTCCTTGACCCGGGTTGTGTGGGTTTGCAGAGCGCTCAGGGGCGACGTGGTGGAACACCGCATCGCCTTCGAGAAGGAGTTGCCGCTGAGCTGGAACCCTTAGGATCCCCTTAGGAGGGGTTACATCCTCTGGGGAAGGGTGCTGACCGATTCCGAAACAATCCAAACGATGAGAGCCCAGACCACCCAATTGTAACCATGTTAGGGCACTTAAGGGCCTTATCCGTGCGTTATAGGTGTAGTTAGAACTGGGTTAACAGTACCCTGAACCTCCAAGTGCAAGGATGTCCCCCCCCCCCCCCCCTGCCCCCAGTTCCACGCAAGTTGTAAGGGCCCTAAATCGGGTTTAGGGTTTAGGGTTTAGGGTTGTGTAACTTAGGCTACAAGTCCCTCAACTGTATAGTCAGTAGAGTCGGGTGCTTTGCGTCACGCTGCAGTCGTCCAGTCAGACCGCCAGCCTGGATGGTGACGGACCTCCCGGACTTCATGTCCCTAAGCCTAAACCCTAAGCTCCCAAACCCTGCTCCCGGAGTTCTCCCTCCCATACTACACGGGTGGATTGGGGCCTGTCAGCCCAGCATTTGGGGTTTAGGGTTCAGGGTTTAGGATTTAGGGCAAGTTTCCCGGCCGCGTCGGCCACATTGCGGGACAACCGCCATCAGTCAATCTCTTCCTCGACCTACCCACTGACGTGCAGGAAATGCTTGTTGAGGAATGGGACCCCAACGACCCCAACATGGGATGGGAGTACTTACAAGGCCCTACCTTTGCCACGAAGGGCATGAAAGGCGCTCTTGCGATCCAAGTCCTGGGTGGTGCACATGTACACTGGGGAGAGTGGTTCGATGTCATGGACACATCCTTGTGAGTCTAGGGCATACCCTGGGGCCGCAAGTACACCCTAAGCTCTAAACCCAACGAGGTCTAAAGTTTATCAATAAATCCGGCTCTGGTTTTTGTTTGGTGCTTGGGGGTTAGGGTTCCACCCTAAACTCTAAATCCTAAACACCAAGCCCTACACTCTAAACCCTGAACCCTAAAACCTATACCCAAAGTCCCCCAATGCTACCCTAAATCCTAAACCCTACCCTAAACCCTAAACCCTAAACCCTAAACCCTAAACCCTAAACCCTAAACCCTAAACCCTAAACCCTAAACCCTACCCTAAACCCCAAACCCCAAACCCTGAACCCTAAGCCGGCGTTCTGGGACTGGAGACTCACAAGGCTCTCACTCTCCATCGCCGTCTGCGATCGGCGGCCCGATGTGGCTCGTGGCGAAGTGGCCGAAGGCAAGTTTGGGGTTTAGGGTTTAGTGTTTAGGGTTTAGGGTTTAGGGTTTAGAAAATTAGGGTTTAGGGTTTAGGGTTTAGGGTTAGGGCTTAGGGTTTAGGTTTCAGGGGCTTAGGGGGCTTAGGGCCTCTAGAGGGTATATAGGGTTTAGGGATGGGGGTTTAGGTTTAGGGCCGCCTAACATTAAAAACCCTAAACCTTAACCCCCAAAGCCCTTATAAGCCCTAAACCCCGAACCTTACAACCCCAAATCTTTAACTCCATCTGCAGGTCCGTGAACCCCAGGGATCGAAAACATGCGGCTGCCTTAGAGTTTAGGGTTGAGGGGTTTCGGGGTTTAGGGGTTTAGGGGTTTAGGGGTTTACGGTTTATGGTTGAGGGCTTAGGGCTTAGGGGGGCTTTCGGCTTTGAGGGTGAGCCTGCTACAGTTTTGTAAGGGTGTAGGGCTTTGGGCGGGTTTAGGCTGCGGGTCCTGCAGGCAGGGTGTAGAACTTCGGGGGTTTTAGGGTTTAGGGCTGCGGGTCCGGCAGGCGTCCTGGCATTCCTTGTGCGCATGGCAGTGTCCGAGGAGTGGCGCGGCGTAAAGGAGGCGACCGCAAGGGGTCTTGCTCCACAGACCCCGCACCCTAAACCCTCAACCCTAAATCCTAAACCCTGAGCCCTAAATCCTAAACCCTAAACCCTAAACCCCTAACCCTAAATCCCAAACCCTGAGCCCTGAACCCGGTTAAAGAGGTACCTATAGACCATGCATCCCCCCAAAGTACGCCTTAACGAGGGAGGGTCAGCTTAATTTGGGGTGTTAGAGGGGCACTCGCAGGGTCTGGGAGGGGGGACTCTGATTTCGGGTTTAGGGTTTAGGGTTTTGGGGGCTCGCGGTTTCCCCCGCATCTGAGCTCCTCTGGACGAGGTGCTTCTGCTCAAGCTTGGCGAGGTTCGGGCTCAGGCCGGGTCCATCATGTCCTCTCTAAAGTTTAAACCCTCAACCTGTAATGCCGGTTGGGGGCGGGGAGGGAGTGGGAGGGATGGTTCAAGGCTGAGGGGGAAACCCTCAATTTTAAACTAAACCCTGAAACCTTAAGCACTAAACACTAAACCGCAGAAGACTAGTATTCTCCCTTATTGGCTTTATAAGAGGATACTCTTTAGGAGCATTTTTCGGACAGTCCTAAGGGCCGGGGCTTGAGCCGTTGAACCCCCACTCCCTTGAGAACCCTATAGACTTACTGGCTCAAAACCCAACTTTTCAACTTTTGGGCTGCTTATAAGGTAGTTTATTCTGAAAGTTTCAACTTTTGTTTCCTCGGGTTTTGGGCCAGTAAGACTGCTCATGTGCGGGAGCAGGATCGGCTTGAGGAATAGAAGCAGCCCCAAGAGGTGCACCGCCATGTCATGCTAGTGGATGATGCCCCTGCATTCTTACCCATTATTGGCACGTTGAGCTTCCACGTGGCCATTCTGTGTTGAAAAGCGGGAGGAGGAGGTAAATTGAGGGTAAGTCTTTGCAGCCGGGGTTTACTGTGCCCTAAACCCTCGATGCCCAGCCGCAATAGTATGGGGTTTAGGGTTTAGGGTTTAGGGTTTCGGTTCCAGGATTGAGGGGTTTAGGGGCTTCGGGCTTGAGGGAGTTCAGTTTCGGGGTTTCGTGCTTTAGGGATACAGTACTCGGAAGGACCCCTCAACCCTAAACCCTGACCTCCCCCGATTTAGGGGCCGACAAGGAGCTCCAGGAAACGGCAGAGGCAACGAAGTCCGCGGCGTTCGCCTCAGAACATCTCGAGATCTTCCTGAGCCCTGAACCCTATCTTTAGAACTGAAACCATCTGCTTAACCCTAAACCCTAAACCCTATACCCTCTAAACCCTAAGCCCTAAACCGTTTGCATGCTGTGAGTTTTCGGTTTTAAAGAGCTCTTGCCCCGCAGCGGCCCGTAAGCTGAGAGGCTTGGCCACACGGAAGTGACACTGAACCCTAAAACCCTAATTTCGAAGCCATGAACCCTAAACCCTAAGCTCTGAACCCTAGACCCTAAACCCTAAACCCTAAACCCTAAACCCTAAACCCTAATTGCATGGAGCTGCGTGCTCCCCAGCATGTCGGAGCAGAGAAGATTCCTCAACGAGGGCATTAGGCGGCATCTTGGAAGCTGCCCTGCCTTCAGGGTTTAGGGTTTAGGGTTAGGGTTTAGGGTTTAGGGTTTAGGGTTTAGGGTTTAGGGTTTAGGGTTTAGGGTTTAGGGTTGAGGGTTGAGGGTTGAGGGTTTAGGGTTTAGGGTTTAGGGTTTAGGGCCTCAAGCCCACATCGAAGTCATAGAAAGGGGGTTTCCGGTTCAGGGCTTAGGGTTACAGGGTTCTAGGGTTCTAGCAGCTTTCTCGGGTTCCAGGGTTATAGGGTGTTGTAGGATTTAGGAGTTAGGGTTCAGGGTAAAGGGTTTCGGGTTAGGTTATCGGGTTTTCAGTTTCGGGTTGAGGGTGATGGGGTTCATGGTTTAGGAGCCCTAAGGGCACAGGGCTGTCCTGAATGGACTCAAATCCTGAATGGACCCTAAACCCTAAACCCTAAACCCCTATCCCTAAACCCTCAACCCTCAACCGTAAACC